CTCAGAGTAATAGAGAGAGGGAGGATCAAAGATAATATTGTTCTGATTATTCTTTTCTACAGTGCCAAAATGGCTACGAGTGTTTGTACAAACCAACATTTAACCAACAAACTGGATTAATAATAAAGAGTAATTTAAACCGAAAATAGATAAACCAAGAACAATGATGGAATCCTGCATCATACAGTATTAAAGAAAAAGAAAACAAGACAAACAAAATCAGAGTGCTAAAGATGATGGGCTAACAATCGAATATTTATTAAGAAGATTAAACTTTTTAATTAATTTCTCGAACCAACACTAAGCATCACGGCTAGGGTTAGCTGTCATTGTGACTTACATTCATACATTAACCCACCAATAAAAAATGGCGAATTTCTCCAGTATTCACATTCTCTTCTTCGTGTTCATCACAAGTAACAACATCACCAGCATTCTGTTTTTGTTCCCTCTCTGTTTCACATCATCTCCTCTGTTTCTTCTAATCTCAAAATTTTAACACTTTTGGTTTGTGTTTTGAATATTGCAGGCGGCATTGCTGTTTCCTCCACCGTCTTCACTCTACAAAACAGCTGTCCTTACACCGTCTGGCCTGGAATCCTCGCTGGAAACAGTAACACTCTTGGCGACGGTGGATTTCCCTCAGACTCCAGGAGCTTCCGTACAGCTCACGTCACCTCCGGGATTGTTTTTTGTTAACTTGTTTAGTAATTTATCAAATTCTGTAATATTATATGGTGTAAATCTCATGTTTGACCCCTACTAACTTGTTTTATTTTACCGTTTGATTCCATTCACATGAACTTAAAGCTATGGAATGCCCCATATTATTTGAATATTTATTTTCATTTGTTATCATTATTTTTTTATGTATTGGTTTATAGCCCAGTTTTATTTTTTTGTTCTTCATATATTCAGTGTTTTTGTATAATTTTAAAAGAGATTTTATATTAATTTTATTAATATATTAATTATAAAAATGACCCGGTCAAAAAAATTTATAGATCCGCCACTGTTGTCACACCTATCTCATTTGCTTGTTGCATACAAAGAAATAATATCAAGAACGTACAGGCATTCCCATTTTTCATTGTTAGAGCAAGTACTTGTTTCTATAGAAAGTATCTAATTAATTTAATATTAATACTTTTAATATAATTAAATTATTTGATTATATAAGAAAATTTGAACCACTTAAAGCATGATTATTGGTAGGTGATTAGAGTAAATAGAGTGGGTTTTAAGAGTAAAACTGATTTAATTAAATTTAAATGGGCTTAAACCCATATTTACTGTTCTAAATTTAGAGTCTATATTTCCAGTAATTATACAAAAAGAAAAAGAAAAAAATCTCAGACGCGAGTTGT